GCCTAAGACAAGAGTAACAGCTTTTAGAAACAGACCCAATCACACACTTTGTTTAAAAAAAAAAAAAAGGTTCATTTCACAAAGTTTATACAGTATATGAGGTATTTTTTATGTTCATTTATGTGGAGGAAATTGACATGTTTTAATGCAATATTAATTGAGCCATAATCTCATTCGATATCTGAACCAGTTGATCCTCACGCAGCATTTTTGGGAATAAACAAGCCGACAGAGACTGTAACTCGAGCGGGAACTTCTTTCAGAATTGATAAAGCAATGGCGTCAACTGTAATTGGGCCAATCGTCTTTTAGCTAGAATTGAGCTCCACTTTCTTTTTTGCAGTAAAAGCAATTTCTTTCTTGGAACTCATCCTCAACCCCCTTTAAAGTGTGCTGAATCCGAGTGCAACCACCTGCTCCAGATTATGGAGAGTCCTATAAACTTACTGCAAAGAGCCAAGAATTTTAACAAGTTTCCATGATCCGTCTTATTTTTAAATGATTAATTTCTCAGGGCGCTTCACATGAATGACACTTGCCATATATCATTTCCCAAATATGACTTACTAGTATTGCGAGATCTTGCAATGCTAATGCTAATATGGAAATGCATGTGACAACAGAGAAGAGTCTGAGAACTACAGTTCGTACGGTGTACGTTTGGCGCGACTCGTGTGTTCTTACCTCGCAGCCGGACCACGTGTAGCGAGTTGTGAGATTGATGACCTGGTTGTTCTCGGGTCTCAGCACAGCCTCCTTCTGGTAGCAGTTCTGTTAGTGGGTAGAAACACACGTCAGAAAGAAACCAAAACATTCCCAATACTGTCTGGTACAGGTGTCTGCGTCCTGTAACTCCATTAGCTAAAAATGTTACTGTGGTACAGTTATCTTTCCCACCTGACTGTAGTCCACCAATAGTTATATTTAGACCAGAGAAGATGCAAATTAGTTCTCAACAGTCAGATCGTAATCTAATGCAGGTTCTCTCTCACCATTAACATCAGGGGTGTCAAACATACGGCCTGCGGGCCAAAACTGGACCACTAGGGTGTTCAATCCGGCCCGCTTGATGAATTTTCATTTTTTAAATAAAAATATTTTTTGTAAAATTATATTTAGTTAAATATGAAAAAATAATAATGACTAAGATACTTGTACTTCTTTGCATGAAAACAAGATTGAAAAAGATGGACTTATTGTTATTATTATTACATTAGGTTATGATTGTACTGATCCGGCCCACTTGACATCTAGGTCGCATGCGACCCACCCACCATCAATCAACAATCAGTCAGTTTGCGCTTTTTGTACGTGACTTAGGACACGTGTCCTAAGTTTTCTTTTGTGAACTTTTAGGCAAATATACAATACATACACACACATATATACAGTATATACGTATATGGCTTCGGTATCAGTCAAGGCCTTTTGTTACAAGAAGTGAATATTTGTTAGAAATTCAAGTCAAAGGTCATTTTTGAAGTATCATTAATCATGAAGTATCATCAATTTTTTTCAGTCTTGTCCACATTATCTGAATCGGTGGTCTCTGTACCCCACAGGTGTCCCGAACTCTTCATTAACAAGACTGTCTGCAGTGGTTTGAGCCACTTGAGACGATCTACCTGCTGGGTTTTATAAATCTATGTGCGTGTACCTTTACCGACCTTTTATTGCAGTACATGTACAAGTAAGTTTATGGTACACGTGAACGTTAAATAGCCAGTGTGCTGATACAGTACATCTTTGACCTTTTATTGCAGTACATGTACGAGTAAGTTTATGGTAAACGTGAACGTTAAATAGCCAGTGTGCTGTGGATCCTTGCATGTTACAAGCTCAAACCATTCACACTGCACCATGTCAGCGAAGCACTTCTAAGTAAACAATGGCGTTTCACCCTTGAAGTGGAAAGGTTTCGTTCACTTAGTGAATACTGTGTATGGTTGATCTGCACAGGAAAAAAACCCAGTGTGGAAACGTATGCAGTTTCATAAGTTTCTGCTGCAATCACTGCCAAAGCACGAGGGCAGATCTGGTTGGCTACCCCAGTGTAAGTTTCTGCTGCAATCACTGCCGAAGCACGAGGGCAGATCTGGTTGGCTACTGTGAGAAATTTGACATTGAAACGACATTGTCCAAGCTAGAAATACTGCACCATCCACATGTGAACTCTGCACTGAAATACTCTTATATTAAAATCTTGGCTGCCAGATTCAGATTTGAAACGGTTCACGAAACTCACAGCTGATAAAACTGATCCCTGCTTCAACCTATACCGTCTCAGAGAGAGCGTTATCTCAGTGTTCAATAGCATTTGATTTTTAGGCAATTTAAGCAATCCCAGTCTATCTGTTGATCTACGGTTTCTCAAATGCATAATAAAATGGATTTCAAAGACCTTTTTATCATCCACTCAATAATAGCTCGATTGTGTATATTTTCAAAACCACTAGGACTTTCTGAGAAAGTCAGAATATTTTTTTTTTATTTTGAAGAGGATGAGCCTCGGGAGAATCCTCTATCGCGTCAGAGTTGGAAGACACAATATATTCCACTAAACGAAATAATGCGCCCGTTCTTTTTTGGTGAATAATGAGTTGTCAGAAACGTGATGCATACCACTTTGGTATCTCACCTTTTCAGGCCTCTTGTACACGGCTGGCCACTGAGAACTGTCATCAAAGTAGAGCAGTATGTTTTGACAGCAGCGAGACTGCACACAGAGAGATAAAAGAGCATGGGTAGGTTATACATTAGTCAGAGAAGACGTAAGAAGTTGAGCAACAAAAACAGTTCGAAGAAGAGGAATGGCAATCACAGTGGAAAATGGATTATGGTTGAAATATTAACTTTTTAACTAACACACACATATATACATATATATACACAGATATACAGACATATATACACATATACATACATATATACATACATACATACATATATATACATACATGCATACAGACATATACATACACACATATATACACATATACATACATATACATACATATACATACATACATATATATACACAGATATACAGACATATATACACATATACATACATACATATAATTAAATATTAATTAATTAATCACAATTAATCGAAATTGATAACTTACCTAGACACACAATATAAAAAAAATCAACTCACTTAAATATGCCAAAAAACCTTTCTGTATATAGCTGGTAGATTTATATCTTTTCAATTATTTTTTTTCCCCCATCACTTTTTGTAAGTCAGGCAGAGAAGTAGTAGGAGTTAAATGTGCCAAACAAACCTTTGGGTAGCGGAACCGAAAGTCCAGGCGTCCATAATCAGTCAGAAAGCAGAAGCGAGTAAGAAAAACCCAGTCCTGTTGACACAAAGTAGAAAGACACGGACATTGAGGAGCTCGTTAATATACATGAACAACACGGCCATAACACAGTTCATGGAAAACGTAACGTACTTCACAGTGCAGCAAGTTAGCTGACACCTATTCAACCTCTTACTCGTGTGTCCTTTACTGTGCTTACTTCAGTCTCTGCAGCAGCAGCAGTTTATGGCAAAACATGGATGTCCATTGTTTTATGTTGAACACCTGAGAGGGTTATTATTAAATTCCACTCTTCCAGCTCACCCTCTACTGTAACTCCCTAACGCACAGCTCAGCCGATAAATCCTGGGCAGAACACGACGATAAAACCAAAATGTTTTCGCAACTCCTACGACAACGATCTGTTTATTTATCATTCACCGGTTTATGAGCAGCAAGTCTCCAGACAAATCAGCATCTGCCGAGTTTACAAAAGCCTCTGACACTTTAGGGTAAACTCAACCAAAGGAGTCTTGGTAGACTAAAGCCGACTGAAGATCACTCTTAGGGTAAACTCAACCAAAGGAGACTTGGTAGACTAAAGCCGACTGAAGATCAATACTGATGTTTGTTCACCTAAAAACTATGAAGGGACGCAACGCCGACAGGTTAGCTTCTACCTGGGAAACTGGATGTTCTGACAACAGCACCATTAACAATTGAAATTAACACAAGAAAAATATATAAATATTTAGATATAAATATATAGATCTATATATATGTATCTCGTGGTCCCGCTCCTATCGTGGTAGTTGCTTTCCAAAAACCACCGCAAAAAAGGAAAATTTGCGAAGTATTTACCGTAAAATACTGCGATATAGCAAAACTCTCGCGAGATGTGTGAATAGGCTAGTGATAAGGAAGATTAAGAAATGTGTACATATGAGGCTTTACAGGTGCTAAAGAGTATTTAAAGGGCCATGAAGGTTGGACTTCCTGTCTGTGAGGATGTACGGTTCTGGGAAAAGGATGTGAATCCTCCTCTTCTACTATTAGTCACTTTGGATAAAAATGCCTCCTTAAATGCATAAATGTGAATGTACGAGTGTGTTGGCTTTGGAGGTGCGTATGGAAACTAACTTCAAGGAACCAGTGTTATCGAAAACCCTTGAAATCTAACACTACCAACCACAGCAAAACATCCAGGTTCATTCTCGGCTCTCAGGTTCCAGTTCTGGGTCTGATCTGGCTCAAACATGTACGGCTGGACGGCAGTTTGTAGTCTGGTGTAAATCTGATATACAGCCGCTATTGAGTTACACGTCACTTCTGAGTACGCAGGTTTTCACTTTAAAAACATTGGCTTTGTTCGTGTACCACAGCAGCCAGTACTCTGTCACTGCTCAATCGTCATGGTTATGTGAAGCCATGCTCAGGTCCTCCTTCCCATGGAATAGGTGGGCAGAGCACAGAGTGGCTCATTAGTATTCAAAGGTTTAGTCACAGAGACCGGCCATTTGGAACAGGGCTGTTAAACAGGTGTAAACATTCTAGCTGTCGTCCATTTTTAGTTTTATTTTTTTAAAAACCAAATCATGTTACTAATATAAGTGTAGCAAATTATGTCCCTGTCAAATTAAATGTCCTTGTTTTTTTTAAGAGAAAAACAGTGTGAATGTAAATGAGTAAAAAAAA